TCTAATTCCTTAAATCCATCACTTCTACTTATGAAGATGTTATTTAGGTCATACTTAGATGGTTTGATGATTTTCCCTACTTTCTTCAATTTAAGTCTGAATTTTGCCATAAGAAACTCGTGATCTGAGCCATAGTCAGCTCCAGGTCTTGTTTTAATTAATTGTATCGAGTTTCTCCACCTTTGGCTACAAAGTATATAATCAATCTGACTTCAATATTGATGTCTGGTGATATTCATGTATAAAGTCACAACACTGGGGCATAATCTCAAAAATTACAAAATATTTGTTTGAATCCAAGGCATCACTGTAATACAAGTCTCTACTCCAACTACTGATGCCAAAGAGGATAAAGTTGATCAGTTCTGTGAAGATCTACATCTTCTAGAAATAACACCAAAAAAAAAAAAAAGATGTCACATTCATCATAGGGGATTAGAATGTTAAAGCAGGAAATCAAAGGATAATTAGAATAACGTGCAAGTTTGACTTGGGGTACAAAATGAAGCAGGGCAGAGACTAATAGAATTTTGTCAAGATAACTCACTGTTTATACTAAACACTCCTTTTCAACAATCCAAAAGGCAACACATGAACATTACCAGATGGTCAATACTGGGTTGTACTATTCTCTAATTAATTCTTAGTTATAAATCTTGTCTCTTCAACCAGACAGTAAACTTCTGAAGAATGGAGACCAAGTCATATGCATTTTGTCTTCCCAAGAGCACCATCATTCTATGTACATTTTAAGTACTCAGTAAACAAATACTTTGTATTTGATTAACTGAAGCTAAGAAGAATGGCACTGGGAATAGGAAAAGGTTCTTAACAGGATTTTTATTTGCCTAGTCAATAATAGCTCCCACTACCCTCTATGAGAGAAATATCATGGTAACAACACCACCTGACATTTAGATAATTGCTTCAAGGTTAACAAAGCACTAACATACACTGTTCATTCTACCCTCACAAGCATACTGTGTAGTAGGTACTACACATAGATAAGAAAGAAAGGTAGGCAGATAGATAGATAGATGGAGATAGATAGATGAAAGATAGATAGAGGGAAACAGATGAAAAATTAATAGAAAGAGATAGAATTGACAGACAGATGATACAGATAGATGTATAGATAGAGACAGATGGTAGATAGATGATAGAGATAGATGATAGATTAGATAGATAGATAGATAGATATAGATAGATTGATGGATGAAAGATGAATAGATAGGATAGACAGATAGAGATAGATGATACAGATAGATGTATAGAGATAGATGATAGATTAGATAGATGATAGATGAAAGATGAATAGAGAGAGGGAGATAGATGAAAGATGAATAGAAAGAGATAGATAGCAGAGACAGAGGCAGATGATACAGGCAGATGTATAGATAGAGACAGATGATAGATAGATGATATAGATGATAGATTAGATAGATGGAAGATAGATAGTCAGAGCAAGTGAACTTTTATTAAATACTAAGCGCAGGGGTTATAAATATGAGCAAGCAAGACAGTCCCTACCTTCATGGAGTTCACATTTTAATGGGGTAAGACAGTATAGAAAGGGGAACTGGAAAGTAGGGGACAAGGCCCCCACAAAGTGGTTGAGAAACCATTTGAAGAGTGAGTTCAACTTTGAGTGAAATAATCATGGCTGGGGCCCCTTCTGAAATTGTGATCCTGGCAAGGAATTCACGACTCAAGACAAGAGGTTTCTCCTAGGCAAGAAAACAACCTAGGGAGTAAATTGAACTAATTGATACTACAGACATTATATATCTTTTCTCTGACATTTATTACCTTTGTGACCTTGAACAAGTCAATTATCCTTGCTATGCCTCAGTTTCCTCATCTGCAAAATCAGGGGTTTGGACTGACTTCTGAGGTCTCTTATACCTCTTTCTGATATACTGTACTCATTTGATAGTTGAAGCAGCTAAGTGAAGTACAGAGAAGTTAAATAACTTATCTGTAGCCACACAGCTAAATATTAAAGGTAGAATTTGAACCCAAGTCTCTCCTGGCTCCATGTTCAGCACTTGTTTCACTTTACCCTGCTTCCTCTATATAAATAGGTAGCATGGAATGTACATTGAATCCAGAGTGAGAAGACTTAACTGGCCTTGATCCCTACTAGCTTTATGACCTCCTATAAATCACCGACCCTCTTTGAGCCTCAGTTTCCTTATCAGTAATAATATATTTATGCTCATAGGGTTTGTTGAATGTAACATACTCTACAAGCTGAAAAGCCAACTAAATATGAACTATTACTATAGATTATTCCAGGAATCTTTAGTTTTTATATGATGATTCACAAAACTGGAGGTGATGAGAAATACACAGGGGGGAGGGTATACTGAGAAAGGGAAGAGAGATGGGAATCCAGGAAAATACTCAAGGGGAATCTTCTATAGTGTGAAGTTGAATTCCTGGAAAATAAAATTTCTCGACCAATAAATCGATTGAGTTTTTAACTTACCATAAAATGTCAACAGCCCCGGAAAAATAAATGTTTCTAACACAGAAGAATCTAAACTCCTGACTAACTAGTGTGGAAATGATTATTTTAAATAGCATTTACTGGTAAAGCGGAAGGGTTGAAACCTTAGACAGGCACTAGGAATATGACTAAGGAAAGGATTATTTCTACGTGTACATCAGTGGTTAGCATAATGACTCAGAGCACTCTGAACTTTCTGGAAATTTGGAATCAAATATCATTGTGCCCATCAAGAAGCTAATTGGAGCTAATCATCACATCCCCTATGTATGCCTCCTCTAGCTCTAAGCAGAAGAGGTGACCCCTTTGGCAGTCTGGACCCCTCCTCACAATAAAGTCTTTAAGCACACAAAATAAAAAACATAGGATCACAAAGGAAATCAATTATATTGAAATAGTTTTTTTAAACAAGTTTACAGGACCCACATTAAGAACCCCAGATCAAGAAAGGTTCTAACTTCCATCCTCTATCTCCATCCTCATAACAACATAAATAATGTTGTCCTTTTCAGACTAACGATCCATCAGTTCTAATTTTCTCTCTCATAGTGACACCAAAGATGGTAATAATGCCATTCCCCTTGTCTATGGGTAAATCATTTCACCACTCTGCCTCCTCATCTACACAATCAAGACAATAATGCTGATACTATCTACCATACAGGGTTGGTTATTGTAAGGACCATTCTTTGTAAACCTTAAAGAACCATACAAATATTTTCTCATTATTACTATTATTTTTTGTGACATTGCCCTTATTATCCGAACTTACTCCCAGAAAATAAGTTGCGACCTTGGGAAAAGAGGAGGCACTTTGTTTGCTAACTTTATGTCTTAGTTATGAAATTTCTAACCCTTACAGAAGTAAGGCTGGAAGCAAAGTCATCCTTAGATTAACTTAATCCTATTCTATCATTCTATAAGATACTTTTTGCCCCTGGATACAAATTTCAAAGCTATAACATTGAGTCTCAGATCCTATCTGTTCCTGGCTGCTGCTTTGGGAATCTACTGCTTTAAAGAATCTAAGAGGAAGAGAGGCATGGCCCAAACCCCATCACATTATACCAGGAATTCCACATGAGTAATATGTTAGTCTGGATTCTGGCACATATTATTTTTTAGCTTTAATAACAGGAGCTACCATTTAACATTATTTTACTCAATATTTTACTCTATTACTCTTTTTAACTATAAATAGCATCCATTAGGAAGCCACTTTCATTTCATTTATAAAACAAATCCATAAGAGTAGTGCCACACACTTTAGGCTTAAAACATGTCTCTTTTTTTTTTTTGGTTGAATTTTTCTTTTTGGAAAATCCAAACAAAATACTTTTGATTTTATTAATAAACATTCCATTAATAAACATTCTCAGTTCTCCTGGAACAGTGTCAACAGTATTTGTAGGGCATCCAAATTTGGATATTTGTAGGCCAAACCTGTTATCTCTGTCAAATACCAAGTGTCAGACTGATGAAGAGTCATTCTGGTCACCCAAGTCATATCGACTATTGGTGGTTGATGATCTAGTCCAAAGGTATTTCATTTGATTCCCCACAGAGGCTTGACTTAAATAGAAAGAGCGATAGTCAAAGAGTTCCAACCCTGACTCTGCCATTTCCTATCTTGGTCACCTTGGGTAAGTCACTTTTTTTAAAGCCTCACAGCCCTCATCTTTTAAGTGAAGGTGTTAGATTAGAGTAAAAATTCTCAATCATTTTTGATATCATGTACGCCTTTGTCCATCTGGTGAAACCTATGGACACCTCAGATAATATTTGTTTTTAATTCATAGTTGAAGGAAAGGCTGTATTTCAGTTAGTGAAAAAAAGATGTAATTTCTTTTTCCCATTTAAGTTTAGGGACTCCTATCCACAGAACCCTTGGCCTAGAGTATTTAAGACCCTTCTAGATTTAAACCTATGATCCTATGAACCTAGTGTCAGGAAAAGCTCTAACGTCAAGTAATTCTCTTGGAAAAGAAAAAAAGTATGTCATTTCATTTTAATTTGGTAAAATTGGTATTACTATTAAAAAGCAAAGACCCTATACACAATGTTCTCGAAATTATTCATGGATTTTTATACAGAGTTAGAACCAGTCAGGGCCTTGGAAAGCATCTAGTTTATCCTCTTCATTTTACAGCTCAGGAAAGTGAGGCCTAAGTAGGAAAGGGACATCCAAATTCATCCATCTAGAGTGTGACTAGAATATAGGTGTCCTGACTCCCAGACCAGTGCTTTTCCCACTATGTTTTGTACATGGAATAACAAAAATTAAACAAGATACAAATTTATAGAGGGCTGGAATTGATTTTTTTTAAAATTGAGGCTGGAAAGCCAAGAGTTCTAGAAATCAGGCATGTGATAAGTCGGCATCTGTGGAGTGCTGTTAGGCCAAGAGGAGGGCCCAGTGAACTTTTATGGACAGTATAAATATTTTGAGCTGTAGGCATCATGACCACCTGATATCTTCCTCCCTCAGGATCAGCTGCTCGGGGGCCGTGTGTGCCCGGAGTCAGGCACATTTGAGAGTTGGATCTCAGTCCTAACACACAATCTCCAGCAGCCATGTCTGTGGAGGAGGAAAGTCGTCCTTTCGCTCAGCAGCTGTCCAATGTCTACTTCACAATCCTTTCACTTTTCTGCTTCAAACTCTTTGTGAAAATCAGCCTTGCCATCCTCAGTCACTTCTACATTGTGAAAGGAAATCGCAAGGAGGCCGCGAGGATAGCAGCTGAGTTCTATGGAGTGACCCAAGGGCAAGGTAAGGCTCTGATAATGCTCTCTGATTCATAGCACGCAGGCTTTGACTCCAGCTTCACTCCTGGGGCTCCTTTGCTCTTCACATGTTTCCTTTGTGGGCTGGCTTTAAGGCCAAACTTCTGATTATGAACGAAAATGTTTGTGAGCTCACTACTGGATTGTTTCATGAAGGAAAGATTTAGTTTGTTACATAAACCCGTCTAATAAGTGTTCCTGCTAGGAAAGAGAGTGAATTCATGCCAAGATAGATTTAGTGGAGGTGATACAACAACAAATTATATCATTTTCCATTTAACACCAAGAGACTTCAGTCATTCTCTCTCGCCTAACCATAAGAGTTTAATGCTGGCAGTAATATTCAAACCCATTTTACCTAGATAGTGGATCCTGGATTTCTCCTGTAATCATATTCTAACTCAAGTTAATTCAACTGACGCTGAGGCATGTACAAAGTAACTGAACTCGAAGGGAACCTGGGAGTGTAGATAGAGAGGCTGATTATTTGTTAAAACGTTTTCCTGTAAGAATATACTGAAGCATAAAACTACCAAATAAAGTGAAAGCAGCTCCAGCTTCCAGAATTCATGTCAGTTGCTTTTTTTTACTTTTTAATGGTGATTTGCTATTTCTTCAATTTGTGTAAAATAGAGGACAAGTTATGTGATAATGTAAATAATCAGACTTTATGTCTGGGTGGAAAAGGGCCCTCGTATTCCTGAAAAGAAAGTTGAACTCTTTGACCACATGTGAAGTCAGTAGTACCAATCATCAAGTTGAATGGGTACCATGAAATCATGTATGGATATGCCATCAGTACAAATTAGTCTGTACAGTCAAAAGGGTTTATGTGATGTCACAGTCTGTTAAAGTAGTATCTGGTTTGAGGAGCATAATTATTTGAAAACCCCAAACAACTATAAATCAGAAGAATTTCAGACTTAAAACTGGCATTCACACAGAATCTAGCATAATGGAGTGTGTGTGTGTGTGTGTGTGTCTGTTCACAATGACTCAAGTGAAGAGGATGTTATTCTTAGCATCTATTATACTAACTTCTGTCATTGGGTAGCAGAGTCTATTTTCAAATGTAGGTTATATCAAGGAACATTTGTGTGGAAAGTAGAATGCAAGAGATAGAACCCTAAGTAAAGTTTGGGTTGTTAAGCTGTTCAATGTATAAAGTTGACAATAATAGTGCATTAGTCACTGAAAAGGAGATAATGAATTTGTTGCTAAGAAAATAGGTTCAGTTTTGTTGTTGTTCAGTCGTTTTAGTCCTGTCCAACTCTTTGTGACCCCTTTTTTGAGTTTTCTTGGCAGAGATAATGGAGTGGTTTACCATTTCCAACTCCAACTCATTTTATAGATGAGGAAACAGAGGCAAATATGGCTAAGTGACTTGTCCAGGGTCACACAACTAGTGTCTGAGGCCAAATTTGAACTCGGGTCTTCCTGACTCCAGGCCCAGTACTCTATACACTGTGCCACCTAGTTGCCCCAGGTTTTGGTAGATATTGTAAAAAAAACCAAGAGGTTTTCTGTTGCTGAGGCAAACCTCTCCATTAACATGGGTTACTCTTCCACAAAGGTTAGTGACTATTTGCCATTTCCCTGAAGGAGAGGACTAGAGGAAAGAAAATTCATAGGAGTCCATTGTGTGATATACCACCTAACTATCCAAATAAAAGGGGGGAAAATCAGTCACCTATTTGGACACTTCATCTGTATGATACCAGACACCAGGAACCCAGTTGTTTTTTTTTTTGTTTTGTTTTGTTTTGTTTTTTTTGTCTTTCAAAGTCTAGATATTTGGATGTAAGCTGACAACTGAGTGGATTTTTCATCTAGCTATGCAAACTGCCTCTAAAGTAATAAGACTAATTTTATGTGTGTGGTTTGTAAAACTAGGGTATTAGTTTGACTGCCACACCTTTTGTATCTTAAATTTCAGTGCGAAAAGGCTGATGAGAAACAAAGAAGAATGTCTGCCTGTTGAAATAGGTTGCAAGAGAGACCTCTGGAGGTCTTTAAAAATAGAACAGTTTCTCATCTCTCTGAGATGGCTTAATCAGATTCTTTTTTGAAGCTGGGGGGTGGCTTAAATGACCTCTAAGGTTCTTTGATTCTATGAAATTAAATTACAGGTAGATGAAAACACTAACTGATATATAAACTGTTTTCCCCCCTATTCACACTCCGGAAATCACAAGGTAGAAAAGTGTTAACTTAATTTTTTAAGATTATGATCTTTTCAAAATCCTCTTAATTGGTGGCAGCTACATGGCACAGTAGATGGAGCATTAGGCATAGACTCAGGAAGACCTGAATTCAAATCTAGACTCAGACGCTTAGTTGCAATGTAATCCTGGGCAAGTCACTTAGTCTCTGCTTCAGTTTCTGCATCTATAAAATGGGGATAATAATAGCACCTACCTCCCAGGGTTGTTGTGAGGATCAAATGAGATTATATTTGTAAAGCCCAGTGCATGGCATATAGTAGATACTTAATAAATATTTGGTTCCTTCCTAATTAACATGTTTCAAGTCACCCGATGCAATGCCTCTAGCATTAGACCTAGGTTCAAATCCACCTTTAACATTCATAATTGTGTGACCTTGGTGTTGGGTAAGTCATTTAACCTCCCTGGGCCTCAGTTTCCTAATCTGTAAAATGAAGGGGTTTGGACTAAAAGGTCCCTTCCAGTTCTAGATCTATGATCCCTCCCAGTTCTACATTAACTCTTTCCTGCTATGTTTCCATTTGTCTATGTACTAAGTAATACTTTCTGCCCAAGGGAAACAATAACATAGGGTTTTAATTTCGTATTAATTCATAATAATGTGACCCAATCCTGAACCCCACAATCTCTTTCTTTGTTTTATTGCTAACAAGGAGTCATTTCTACTCTATCTATCCTCTCTTTCTCTGTCTCTTAAAAAAAAAAAAAACAATTATCTTCGATCTTTAATACCTTGTTCTTAACTTTTTAATTAGCTAATCAGCCTTAATTGTTTTTGTATAATCCATCTGTTTCCTATCTTCCTAGGGGAAGATTATCACCTTCATTCCATTTCGAATTAGGTTTCTCATCCTGACTTTCAAAACTAGCCAAACCATTCCCCCACCATTTCTGAAATGGACATGCCAAATTTCCTGAAATCTGAGATGTCATTGCATGTCACTGCATGTAGTCATTTCTTTCGTAACCACAGTAGATGCTGCTGATGACATTCTGGATGTCCTTTTCATGAGCACAGTAGTACTTTGGTATGAAATAAATGAAACCTTTAATTTTATTAGATACCATCTCCTATTGTATCTACCCTCTGGGGGGACAGAGGGAATCCTGGGACAGGTGTTGAGCAAATGACAAAGTTTATCCTCTGATGATTTCCTAGGTGCTTTACAATCATTATATGAACCAAGATGTGATACAAAGAGCATGAGGAAAAGATTATACCATTTGCAAATTGATTCCCTCAGAATCCATCTGTTATTTCACTGACTTTCACCTTTGAGAAAAAAAAAATCTTCCTTTCTCTACCCTCATAAAGAAAAAACCTCTTGCTTCCCCCTCCTTTCCTATATAATGAGTAGTCCTTGATTTGTTCTCTCCTAGAATATTTCCTGGACCCCTAGCCTCTACAAATCAAAAGTCTATTCTTAACGTTGTTAAAGTTGTCATTAGCTTTTGAGACTGGCAGTTGGAAAATTAGATAGCTACCCAGGAATTCTAGGCAGCTTTCAACTTTATTCCTAACTGGTGGAAGGACCAAAGTAGAGTGTGACACACCTTCCTGACCTTCAGAGCACTGATATTTGGGTTGTGCCCCATCCTGAGTACAATCACTGGACAAAGATGTAAAAAGCTATACTCGCTTTTATCTTCCTAATGACACCTTGACAAGAAATTCCTGTCCTCCATCATGAGGAGTGTTGTTCCAGTGATAACTGGCTCTGAAAGAAGCATGAAGACTCTTTAGAAAGTCAGTGGACAAGACCACTACTGGGCAAAATTGTGATGTAGTTATTTGTCCTTGGTGCTTTCAGCCTTCCCCTTCTGCTTCTCCTCTTCCTCTCTATTTCATTCCCACTCTTTCTCCTCATCAGGCACCCTAAACCCTCTTGTTCTCTTACCTCCTAACCCTGATCAAAATTTGATCTCTAGAAACTGTCATCATTGGGCTTTAAAATTTTAATGTAAATTTATCATCCTCTCCTAGAACCAATGCATCTTTGGCCTGACTTCCGTTAGACTATAAATTCTTGAGGGGAGAGACTGTTTTTGCTATTGTTTGTGTCCTCAGCCCTTCACACAAATTTGGCATATAGTGGGAATTCAATAAATGCTTCTTGACTTATTTCTGATTTCAGAATAAATGGCACTTTCCCTCCTTAAAAGAACTTCAGGTATCAGTAGGAGCAAAAAGAAAAGAAAGCACTTTGGGGCGCCTACTTTAATTATATCTAAGGTCCTAAAAATGATTCAAACTTAAATTCCCCTTTAAAAAATCAGCATATTGCCTGAATACAGAGAGCAAAAAGAACTAGATGCCATCTATTTTCATGTTCTCTAGAATGTAAGCTTCTTGAGGGCAGGGACACTTTTATCACACTTCTATTTTTTTTTAATATCACACTTTTATTTGTTTCCCCAGGGCCTAACACATTTTTTTTTACTAGACCTATGATTTCACTGGTATAATAAACATTTATTGAGAAAACTCCCTATAGCAATACAAATCAGTACCTGCTCTGCAATTTTTGGTCTTAGAGAGTTACCTGAGGTCCTGAGAGATTAAGTGACTTGCTTATTTAAAGGCAAGTACTACATAAGAGGTAGTTTAGGGTGATGGATAGAGAACTGGCTTCAGCAACAGGAAGGCCTGGTTAGAGTAAAACCAGGTCTTCCTGTTGCTGAAGCCAGTTCTCTATCCATCACCCTAAACTACCTCTTACGTAAGTGCCAAACATGTAATAAGTGCTTAATAAATGCTTGG